AACGATTGGTAACTATTTTGGTAAATGTTTAAAGTAGTAAAGAACTTGATTACAATACACATGACAGGGACTTCCCTGGCGGTCCAGTGGTTGAGACTCCGTGCTTCCACTGCAGGGGGCACGGATCCGATCCCTGGTTGGGGAACTAAGATCCTGCATGCTGCACAGCACGGCCTAAATAAATAAATAAATAAATAAATAAATAAATAAATCTTTAAGGGAAAAAAAAAATACACATGACCGAAAAGAGAAAACAAAAATACACATGACAGGGTCCCACCCCAGACCTGCTGCACAGACTCTGGGGTCAGGGTGGTCGGGAGCAAGATGTTCTGTCCTGTGATGACGCAGCCCAGGCAGTTGCGAGGGCTGAGCACCGTCCAGAAGGTGGTGGCCATGCCTTGCCCACTCGCCCTCCCCCCTTTCCTGTATTTTGTTCATACATTCATCCGAGATTCCAGAAAGGTCCCTTGTCCCCGTGAACCAGGCCCTGGGCAGTCTCTGCTGAGTGACAGGAATGACAGCTGGCTCCCCTACCCGCTCCGCATTCTGTGATGATGGGAGAGGCCCCTCCTCTCAGCTCCCCCAGGCCTGGACCAGCCTGGCCCTGTCCCCGCCACCAGACCCCCCCCATCCCGCCCCGAGGTGTTCTGGTTTCACAGACAAGCAAACAGTCTCCACCGACATCAGTTGCTCTGAGCAGAGAGCTGGGTCTCTTGGACAGGGAGGTAGATGCTTTTTAGGCCCACTCATTTCCAAAAACACTTCGCGAGTGCCTGGGCTGAGCCCTGAGGGCCCCAAAGACTAAGACATTGTCACTGCATTTTAGGAGCTGGTAGTGACTTCTGAGCAGGGTACTGAGGGATGAATGGGCGCTTGCCAGGACCCAAGAAGTAAAGGCGCTCTGGGTGGTGTGTCACTGTTTCTCATTCGATCCCCAGCGCCTTGTGAGGTGGGGCCTGCCTGTCGGACTCCAGCTGAGGGGCTCAGGGAGCCAGACAGAGGGATGAACCTGAGAGACCAAGGCCAGGCTGACAGTGAGAGCCTGAAACCAGGTGGGGACAGGCGGCCTGCCTCCCGCCCTTGGACCTCTCACTTTTCCCAGGCTGCAGCTTTGGGGAGAGGGACTGAGGGCAGGCCTGAGTCACAGGCCACGGCCAATGGGCTATGTTGGGCTCAGGTCAGGTGACATCAGGCCACTTCTCAGGTGCTGCAACTCCGGGCAGCTGGGGCCTCCCCCCCATCCCCGCTGCCCCCGGCCCTCCCCAGGCTTGCATGGAGCAGGCAATGGAACTCCAAGGCCTGGCAGTCACGTGGTTGGTGGGAGCAGGCCCGAGGGTGTGCCCCGGCAATCCCAGAAGGCTTCCTGGAAGAGGCAAGAGGTGGGGGGGGGGGTGTCTTCCAGGCAGGGGAGCAGGGGGCCTGTCCTCAGGGCTGTCCCTGAGCACTGCCACTCACAGGAAGAGCCCCAGGCACAGGGGCTGCCCGTGATGCACAGCTTCCTCATCTTTCTTTCGCCAGGCTGGTTGGGCCAGAGCCTGGAGGGCCTGGCCTCGTCACCGCTGGGGAAATGACCTCACTCGGGGAGTTTCGAAGAGGTGTCCTCTCTCTGCCCCAGCTGCCTGACATCCTCACCCAGCTGGAAGGGATGACAGGTGTCCCCAGCCGGATGTCTGGGGACCAGTCTCGTCTGCCTGGTGGGATGGGGGGTGGGGGAGGGGGTCTCCTCAGGCTCCGCGTGAATCCCGGATGCGGCCCTTGGATAAATATTAGTAAACTTGGCTCAGACCTACGCTCTCTGATGCCACTGTCTCGAGGCAAGGCCCCGCACTGGCCCCTCCCCGTCTGAGAAGCAGCCACCGAACATCCCCAGCCCAGAACCTGCTCAGCCCTTCAGGCAGAGGCTGGTTCCTGCCCCCAGGCTCGGGATGCAATAGGATGAATCTGAATCCTACTGGCGGGCTGGGTGACCTCTGCTGAGCCACTTAACTTCTCTGAGGAGCCCCACCCGTTCCTTGCAAACACCAAGAAAGCAACCCAGCGGTCCCCGCCTCATGGGGTGACCCTGAGGACGAAAGCAGGGCCCACACGGGCCTCCCCGAGGGTGCCAGGCCCCTGACCCTCAGGCTGGGGCTCCTCCCTCCCCAGCACCAACCTGGCCTGGCACCCTGATGGGCCGCAGCCCGCATCCGCACCCGGGGCCTCGGTCCCCTGCAGGAAGCCAGTCTGGTGGGTCCTCTGGGCTCCTAGCTATCAAATGGCTCAGGGGTGTCTCCCCAGAGACCTTCGCTGGGGTGCAAGGTCAGCGCTTTGCTTCCTCCTCATGTTCCAGAGGGACCCTCAGACGGGCCTGCTTCAGGCGTGGGGACAGGGTCCCCTCCTTGCTCTGGGTTCCTGCTGGTTTGGCCAGGCGGCCCACGGACGGGCCTCTGGCTGGAGGGGTTTCCAGGCCCCCCGGGGCAGGGGCGTTGGTGGTGAAGCTGCCTGGGGGGGATTTCCACCAGCCCATCCCCATCCTCCGGGGAGAGTGGCAGTGGGCTCCCCACCCCCTGTGACCTGCTTTCCCAGCTCCCGCGGACGCCCACCTGTCAGACCACGCCCCGCCCCCCCAGGTCATTGGTCACCGTCTGACTCTCCCCAGAAAGGCCTGGCTGTTGGGGACAAAGAGTGGAGTGCTGGGTGGGCATGGCGAAGTGCACCTCACCTGGCCTCACCTGGTTTTCAAGGCCTCTCACATCCTTTCCTGTCTCTCTTGCCCCGCCCTCCCTGGGGCCTCCGCTACCACGTCTGTGAAAGGGGGCTGGAAGAATGCCCACCTTGGGCCTCGCTCACCTGGGCTCCTTGGGAATCCCCCTGTGGCACCCCGCCCTCCCCATGGAGACCTCCAAGCTGTCCTCTTGCTCACCCCCAACCCCGTACTCCCCAGGGCAGGCAGGGCTTCTCCCCTCTCCCCTCTCCTCGGGGTCCTAGCACCAGCCAGGCTTACAGGCACACAGTAGGTGCTTAAGCAGTGCTGAGTGTCTGTGGTTTGCCTGGCCCTGAGGTTCCAATGACTGGCCCCCGGGTGGGGGAAACGGGCTGGTGGGCCTCGGAGGGGTCCCGGCAGAGCGCTGGACACCCAGGGGGCTCACAGTGGCTTCCTAGAGGCAGCAGCCTGGCCCCTGGGCTGCCTCTCCCGTGGCCCCGACAGCCCAGGGCCCCCTCAGGACAGAGAGCCTGCGGGAAGGCGGGTCAGCAGTCTCACCCTGCCTGATGCTGGAATCCCCTTTACCAGCTCTGCTGGGATGCCTGTAGTGATGGGGAGCTCGCCCCCTTATAAGTCTGCCCTGTGTTGTCTTGAGGGGAGATCTGTCTCCCCACCCACCCACCCTGTGCTCCCTTCACCCTCTGGCCTGCCACCCCACGGGCCTGCCGATTCCAGCTCCGCCCCTTCCCCCAACACTGACCAGCATCCCTATGCTTGTCCTGTGCTCCCTCCCGCAGGCCAGAGTCCTGGGCACCCCCTGCCCTCTGCCACACCGCTGACAGTTGCCCTGGATGCCCAGGTGGGTGTGTCCATCTGCAGAGGCCTGGCCCAAGCCACTCATCTGAGCCAGCGGTGCACCTTATTCCTCACGGTGACCCTGAAGGGCCAGGGTTGGGACTTGCCCAAGGCCTCAGAGCGGGGGCAGGTGGGGCAGGGTTGGCTCCACGGCCGGCCGGACGGGCCCGCACCCAGAAGGTCCCACATTGGCTTTATGCTCTGCCTTCACAGTCCTGAAAACATCATTAATACTTTTTGAACCAGGGTACCTGCGTTTCCATCTTGCACCAGGAGGGGGCGTGGCTCTCACAGCCCCAACGGACTCGTGCCCTCCTTGCTCCCCTTGCTTTGCACCACCTGCCCAGGTCACAGCCCGGCGGGGTGTTGGAAGGTGCTGGCCCCGGAGCGGCTGGGGCCCCCGTAGATTCCCTTCTGCCGCCACCGCCCCCCGCCCCCCGGGAACCCTGGAGGAGCCAGCGATCACTTCCTGTTAAACCCTTTAAAGGAAGAGGGTAAAAAAAAAAAAAAAAAGGAAGAGGGTAAATAAAAAGACTTGTCCTGCTGGCAGGGCATGACTCAGCCGCCCCCGGCCCGGCCCAGGCCGAAGGCCCCTCTGCCCCCCACGCACCAGCGCGCTCCGCGCCCCCTCGGCTCCCAGTACCTCTGGCGGGTCCGCCGGTGCGTCCTCCCTCCCCCCACGTACAGCCGCCAGGAGGGCCCAGGGAGCGGGACAGGCCCCCGGGAAGGGAGCTGGGAGCGGCCCTCACACTTACTGAACACTAAGGGGAGCTGTTCTAGCATTTTCCGTGCGTTGCCTAATCCAACAAGTGTCATCGTCCCCCATTTTACAGAAGAGAAAACTGAAGTTCAGAACATCTGCTCTCCCGGTCGGCCCGACGACCCAGGGGGAAGAGGGCAGGTCGTCCCAGGCGCGCCGGCCGGCGGGTGGCAAGATGGGAGATAAGGCCGGCTGGGGCAGGGCCACCGAAGGGTCTCCCCGGGGGCCTGGGAGGAACTGGGGCCGCGACTGCATCTGCCCCACGAGCGGCAGGGCTGGGTGTCGGCGCGCCTGGAGGGTGGGGGTCTGAGCCCCGCCGTCACCGCGCCCCGGGCCGTCCCCGGCCTCGGGCGCTTCCCGCGGCTCCCCGGCAGTGAGTCACCGCGGGCAGGGCGGGCCGCAGCGCATTCCTCCGTGGGGCCGGCGTCCGGGGCGGGGTGGGGGCCATTGAGTCGCTCCACGGGGCCACGGGTCTGGGGCGCCGGGGGAACGGGCTGCAGACAAGGCGAAGGGGGGGCGACCACGGCGACCCGGGGTGAGGGTGCGGCGCGCAGCCCCGGGGTGGCCAGGCTGGGGGGACCGGGGCGGGCTGGGCCCAGGAAGGGGGCGCGGGGCGTGGCCGAGAGGGGGCGTGCCCGGGGCGGGCCGGACCGAGCGCGTGGGGCGGGGCCGCTATAAAGACGGCGCCGGGGCGCCGGGGCGCATTGCAGAGGCTGCTACCAGCGGAGCGCCTTCGCTTCTGCGAGCTGCACCCGGCCGACATGAAGACCCCCGGGGAGGTGTTGCGCGAGGGCGAGCTGGAGAAGCGCAGCGACAGCCTGTTCCAGCTGTGGAAGAAGAAGCGCGGCGTGCTCACCCCTGACTGCCTGAGCCTGTTCCCCACCGGTCCCGGCGCGCGCCCCAAGGAGCTGCGCTTCCACTCCATCCTCAAGGTGGACTGCGTGGAGCGTACGGGCAAGTACGTCTATTTCACCATCGTCACCACCGACCGCAAGGAGATCGACTTCCGCTGCGCGGGCGAGAGCTGCTGGAACGCGGCCATCACACTGGCGCTCATCGACTTCCAGAACCGCCGCGCCCTGGAGGACTTCCGCAGCCGCCAGGAGCGCGCCGCGCCCGTCGGGCAGCCCGAGGCCGGGACGGCCCGCGCGCCCTGAGCGCCGCCGCCGCGGTGAGTGCCGCCCGCCCGCCCGCCCGCTGGACGCGGTCCTCGGGGAGGCTGATGTCGACCTCGGACGTCGGGGGGAGGTCCTGCCCCGTCTAGGGAACGCTGTCGAGAGGGGACTGGGGGCCTCGACAACGCGGCGCGGCTGGGGCGCGCGGCAGGAGCCGTCGCTTGCCCCTTCCGTGTCCGGGCCTCGGGAGACCCACCGGCTGGACTCCGGCTCGCTCAGCCACCGGGCTCGGGCACAGCTCCCTGAACCTCCCCGCTCTCCCCACAGGAACCACACACTGGACGGGTCGGGCCGGACGCGGGCCGCGCCGGCAGGAGCTCAGGGAATGCCCGGAGCGGCAGAAGCCCCGGCGGCGCCCAGCCACTGACCACGGCGAGGACAAAGGCCGGGGCTGCGTCCTGCCCGGCAGAGAAGGACCCTCCCGTGCGGAGCCGCAGAGCCTCGCCCCCGCTGTGCGGGTGCATTAAATTATTGGACTATCTATGTATTTATTTTGATGGTATTTGTGTTAAAACCATCTGTCTTAATATATATACATATATATATGTGTATATATGTGTGTGTGTGTGTGTGTGTGTAATCAATGTGTCCATTCCAAATAAACTACCTGACTTGTTCTCTTTTCTACCAGCCGGTGTGGTGCAGTGAGCTTCCTGTGGGAGGCGAGTGGGTGGCCCCTTCATTCGGTGTGTGTTAGTTGGGGGGAGCGGCCAGGCCACCCCAGGTATCCGAAGGGCAAGGAAATGCTCTTTGAATGAACACCGTTATCCGCTGGACCCTGGCCGCACCATCGCTGGAGGCGGGGAAGTGCCCTGGGAGTGGCTCTGACTTCCGCTCCGGGGTGTGGAACGGGGAGGACAGGGCCCCCGGCTTGCTCCCGGAAGCCACTCACAAAATGCCCCTGTGAGGTCACCACGCCTCCCCCATCTGAGCTGCTCTGGCCCTCGGTGGGGTACCCGACCCTAGCTGCCCCCTCCCGCCCCTGCCCAGCCCCCTGAAAGGAAGCCTTCAGGCCTCTGGCTGCCCACCGGCCACACTCCTCTTAACATGCTGCCAGCCAGTGCCTGACGTGCTGGGCCAGCAAGGTGGGCAGTGCTTCTGGGCCAACGGGAGACAGGCCTGCACCATTTCTGCCGGCGTGGCAGGAGGCTGAGGCCCCCGAGTGGCCCAGGATGTGACATCAGGATGGGGAGGCCCAGCTTCTGCCCTTCCTGCCCGCTGGGACCCTGTGCATCCAGGGTCGCCCACAAACCCCCAGGCTCCGGAGGGGAGGTGTGCCCCTCCACCTGGAAGGGCTGTGGGTGATGAAGAAGCCTAGCATGGAAGAAAGGGACAGGACGCTGATCCTGGCCTAGCCAGGGGACCTTCATTTCACCTTTGTGGCTGGAGGGAGCCAGGTGTAGGGGGCAGAGGTGAGGGGAGTGAAGGACCAAAATTGGGCCCTAATGTCAGTCACTTACCCTTGATGCGGAGGGGGGGGGGGGCACCATTACAGGCCTCCTAACCGGGTGGCAGGGGTCAGACTGGGGAGGGGCTGTCCCTCTGCTGGGAGGCCTGCAGGAGCCTGGGTGCTGGGTCCAGAGAAGAAACCATTCCTGCCATGAATTTTCTCCTGAACAGCACTGTGAAGCCCCTGTGCAAATGTGGAGGGGGCTTCTTCAGAGAGTAGAAAAGACCAACCCCAGGGTGCGCCCCCATGCTGCCCTACCCTGGAGACCCCTCCCACCAGACCCTCTGGGTGAATGACCAAAGTCAGAGGGTGGGACCCCAGTTCCTGGCGGGGCTCAAGTGGAGGCAGGGTCTGGCCTGAGCCCTTGGGCTGGGAGGGTGGGCGGACCTTGGCTCTCTGAGGCCCCTCCAGTTGGGACGTGAAATTCTGAGGTTGGGGTTTCTGAGTTTAACAGCTTCTTTTAAAGGCAGCCTGTGGGGGAGGGGTAGCCTTCCTGGTCTCAAGGGCGTCTGTAGACACCTGACAAGGTTGTCCTTTCCATACTGGTCATGGGGCACGGCAGCCTGCTGGCCTCCCTGTGTCTGGTACCCCTTCTCTGTAGCACCTGAGCTGGGAGGCGGGGGGAGGGGGAGGCACAGCTCCCCAGTTCTCAAGCCTGGATGCCTGGTCCTCCCCACTGGGCTCCCCAGCAGTGAAATGAGGGTTCTTTTCCTAGATCTCTTCCCAAGCCTCAAAAGTCCTGATCTTTTCAAACAACCACGTCCTCCTTCTGTTCATGAGTGGAAGCAATTTCAAGGCCTGAGGAGGGTGCGGGCAGCGTGTGCTCGGCCCCAGGCCGGGGGTTGGTGTGGGGTGGGGGGTGTGAAGGGGTGAGCACGGAGCTCCCTGTCTCTGGGGACGTCGTGGGCAGAGCTGTCTGGGTGGCAGCAGGGGGTACTCCTCACTGGCCTTGGTGGCGGACTCCGGGGGCAGGACCCACCTCCCACGGGGATGAACTTGGGCGATTCTGCTCTCCCTGGAGCCCTGGGGCAAAGCTGCAGGCCCTCTCCTCCAGGAAGCCCTCCAGCATCCAAGGCTCCACCCTGCCCTCGTCCCCAGGCCCCCTGCCCAACTGATAGAAATCAGGCTGGAAGAGGTCCTAAGGGAGTTTATTGCCAGTCTGTGCCTGGGGGCCACGGTCACCAGGCTTTGTCCATCTTTGGGGGCACAGGCTGCCTCCAGAGGATCAGCAGGACAAGGAAGTTGACGGCGAACTGCACGTGGCCGAAAACAGGGACTCCGAAGCTGTGGTACAGGAGGCCTCCCAGGGTGGGCCCCAGTGTTCTGGTCAGCGGCTGCACAGAGGCGCAGAGGCCCAGCATGGTTCCTACGGCAGGGGAGAGGAGGGTCTCTCAGCATCACTGCCCCAGCCGCCCACGGCCTTGACACAGCTACAGCCTCCCTGTCTCCCCCGCCGCCCTCCACGCCCCCCCCGCTCCCTCCCTGCAGACCCCCCAGCCACGCAGGGGGAGCACGGGGCCCTCTCGGATGGGGATCTGAGCCTCTGCCCTGCCCCAGGTTGTGGGCCAGGCCCCCCCGCACCAGGCCTGCCTGAGAGGTGGCATCCCAGCCAGGGGCCTCCCGAAGCACCGTGGTGAGGGCTGGGCCACCACACACCCCTGTCACCTGGCTCCCGCCCTCACGTGGACTGCAGGGAACTCCCCCCAGGGCGGGGGAGGGGCTTTAGGGCGCTCGAAGGGCCCGCACCTGCTTCTCTGCACCCACTTCCCGGGCTCGCCTGGCTGCCTGCACCCCTCTTACCTGACACCCCTACCTCCACGCCCCTCTTGTCAGCTGTGCCCTATGAGGGCCACCAAGCGTGTGGCTCCTGTCAACACTGCCGTCTGCCCCGAGGGCCCCAGGCTCCAAGGGCTTCACAGCCCTTGCTCTGGGAGCTGGAAAGGCCTGCCCTTGGGTCAGCTGGGCGTGGCCAGCCTCTCCCGACGCCCACATGCCCTGCAGACACCAGTGAGCAATTACCGCCCCCTCTGTGGTTTCCGGTTCCCAGGCTGGTGCTGGGAACCGGCTCCTGGCTCCTTCCAAGCTGAGGGATGGTGCCTCTGGCACATGGGGCCCTGGTGGACTGGATCTGCCCCGCCTTCCTCCCTCTCAGGCTCCGCCCTCCTCCCTCTCAGGCCCTGCCCTCATCTCTCGAGGCCTTGCTCCCCTCCTCTCTCCTCCTGGCCTCTCACACCTGCCAGCCCACAGCCTCCAGGAAGCCCTCCAGGACCAGTCTAGCCTCCCAGGACCACAGAGCCGCAGGTCTGGCCGGCCTTGGGGTCCCCAAGGCAGTCCTGAGAAGAGGCCTTGACCAGCAGCCTCCCCATTTTCATCAGGGCCTCTAGACCTCAGTCTGACCTTCCCAGACAGGCAGGTAGATGGACGGAGGGTCAGCCAGGGCCCTGAACTTTCTGGCCCTGCTGCCAAGGAGGGAGGTCTTTGACCTCAACCGGCCCACAGGAGCCCTTGACCTTGACCTGCACCATGCCCGGGGCAGCACGGGGGCAGAAGCCTGGGCAGCATCGGGCCCAGGGACCCCCAGTCTGGATGCGAGACTCCTTGGCCTCAAGAAAGAAGGCCAGGTGCAGAGTGGGGGGACTGCGGGTCCACCTCTGGGGGAGCCTGAGTCCCACTGGGTGGCCCGGGGGCAGCACTCACTCCCTCACTCGTTCACTCAGGAGGCACCTGCACATCCCGTGCGCAGGGAGGGAACAGGAGGTGCTCCCCATGCTAGCCACCCCCTCTGGCCTCTAGCCATTCTCTGCCCATGCTTCAGAGCCAAGCCAGACGCCACCTCCAGGAAGCCCTCCTCCCGTCCCCCAGGCCTGGCCCTGGACCGATCAGCAGGGCCTGGTGCAGGGTTGGCTGGGTCTGGCTGGGCTGGGTGGTGGGCAGGATTCTCTCCTGAGCTCTCTTGCAGCCCGCCATCCCCATCCTGCCCACTCAGACCCCCAGCCGCCCACCCTACTCAATGCCCACTGCGTCCAGGCAGGTCCCACATTAAGGCAGCTGCTTTGCCGCAAACTGCTCAGCAAGCTTCCCAGAGAGGAGGGCCGGGGTCTCCCCAGGGCCTGCCCGTCACCCGGCCCGGGATGCCGCACTCACCCGTGTCTGAGGCCGAGACGGCATTGGTCAGCATGCTGTCGGTGACCACGTTGAGGGCACACAGGCTGAAGACCAGGCCGGGCATGAGCAGGCACAAGTGGAAGACGTTGGCCATCAGCGCCTGCCGAGGGGCAGAGCAGGGGTCACGGTCACGGGGGCCTTGCAGGGCCTCGCGGGACCAGGGTGGAACTGCCCATCCCTGAGGTCCCACTGAGGTGGCCCTGGGTTGGGGTAGAGGGGGCCAGGGGGCCCAGGGGCTCAAGTGCAAACTGGGCACCGGCAGAGGGTCAGGGGAGCGGGCCTGGGACCCTGCTCTTTGCGGGGCAGCCAGAGGCGGGAGCTCTCACCATGGCCAGTCCCACCACGCTGAACACCAGCACGCTGGCCCGGAGCAGGGCTCCCTCAGAGAAGTGGCTGCTCAGCCACCCGATGACCAGACCCTGGAAGACCTAGGTGAGGGCGAGAGGGTGGAGGTGGGCGCAGCCGGGCCTGGGGAGGGGGGCTGGGCTGCGGCCAGCTGCGGGACCTCCCCCACCACCTGCAGCCCCTGGGGCCGCTGCCACCAGCCACAGCAGGCGCCAGGCGCAGGGCACAGGGGTGAGCCTGTGGTACCCACGATGGCCTCAAAGTCCCAGGGGAGACGGGGCCAGCAGCCTGGGCGCCTCTCACACACGCGCGCACGCACACGCACCCACGCACGTGCACGCATACATGCACGCACACGCATACGCACATGGACATGCACCTGCGCGCACACACGCGTGCACAGCCAGCCACTCAGAGGTCCGAGTTCCACATTCAAAACTAATCCCTGCAGTTTCAGGCGTGATAAACGCATTTTAATCGAAGGGCCGGTTAACTCCTGGTGGGGGTGGGGAGGCCACGGCTTACGGTGCAAAAAGCTTCTTTGATAGGAAAATGCTCCCAGTGTGGCCCCGACTCCAACCCTGGGGACCCTTGGGGCCCTGGGAAGCCCCCTACCGTGTCTCCTGGCCCCCATGTGCCCCATCCTGGCCAATCACTCGTCCTCAGCCCCCTCTTTGGCTGTCTCCTCTGGGAGGTGGGACCTGCCCCATTCACAGATGGGGAGACCAGGGCACAGAGGAGAGGGGGGCTGGATTGGAACCCGAGCTCAGAGCCCTGGTGCCCATGTGGGGTCGCCCTCCCAGCTGGCCCTGTGGAGGCCTGGCCCCAGCAGGCGGGCACACCAGCTACTGTCAACTGGGGCCAGGGACTGGGCCAGGAGCCCTGTGTCCTCCACATCTCAGGAGGCCACAGCTCCAGTTACAACTGGGTAAACTGAGGCCCAGAGGGTGGATGTCACTTGCCTGAGGTCCCAGAGCTGGCCAGGAGTGGAGCTGGAGCCCAGGGCGGTGGGCTTGTCCTGAGCCTGGGCAGGTAAGCAGGGGGCAACCAGTCTCCCCAGATAACCCCCACTGTTGCTCCGCCCTCCACTCCCAGCTCTGTCCTCCTGGCCGCAGCCCCCTCCCCCGGCCCCAGGGTCAGCCAGCCAGGAGCCAGGTTAAGGTTAAGGCTCCCCTTCCTGCCCTCGTGGGGGTGGGAGGAACGGCCCAGAGCAGGGACACCCTTGACGCTGAGGATGTGACTCAGAGGGCAAACCCAGCCCTCGGCCATCCCCAGGCCAGGGGGAGGAGGCTCCCTACCTGGTCCCCTGCCACCTCCACCAGGCAGACAGGAAGTGCCCGGGGCGCAGTGGGTTTGGAGCAGCACCCCCTGGGGCTCGGGTCAGGCCGGGGCTGCACCCTGTGACGGGGCGGGCCCACCCCTGCGGAACAGGACGGGCCACTCAGAGCTGCCTGCCTGGCAAAACGAAACTGTCTCAAACCAGCACCAAAGATGTCCTTCTTTAAAAAAAAAAATCCTACTTTCACACTTGCTTATCTTCGTTTTCGTTTGTTTAAAGGGAAGATCTACTTGGCAAGCGTCTTGTAGTGCCCTACACCCCGAGAGGAAACCACCAAACCAGGAGAGAGGTTTCAATCTGCCTCAGCTTTTCATACAGAGCCAGAGACCAGGACCCTAATGGACTGGGGTCGTCTTTCCATTTTCCCATTAACTTAAACAAAGCCTAAACTTTCGTGCCTTACGGGTTATTACATGAAACTAGAGCTACCAAGCACACCAGAAATTTCACTTTCTCCCAACCCTCCCATCTGGAGACCCTGTCTGCTCACCTGTCCTGCTCCCCGCTGCCCTGGCCCGAGCCACCTCCACCTCCCCGGAGGTCACATCGGCCACAAGCACCCAGTTCCCCAGCAGGGGGCTAGTAAGACCACATCCAGCCTCCAAATGGTTCCACCCACTCCGAGTAAATCTGAGTAAATCTGGGTCCTTCTTGGCCTTGCAGACCATGCCCCACACGTCTTCAGAGGGCAGTCCTCTCCCCTCAGGCCGGCCCAGCCACCCCAGGGCCTTTGCACCTGCAGCCCCTCCCTGTCTGAAGTTCTCTCTCTCCAAGCCTCTCCATGGGCCAGTGGAGAGCCTACCAGCCCTAACCCTAACCCCAACCCTTACCCCATCTGAAGCAGCATTTCTGCCCCTCCAAGGGCCCTGATTCTCCTTTGAGGTTTTGTCGCCCCTGACACACCAGATGCGCCAGTGGTTGGGGGCTTGCCTCCGTCTCCCCCACCCCATACGACGGAAGCTCCCTATCACTGCAGTGGCGCTGTGCCTGGGGCACAGATGAAGGCCGAGTGGGGGGCCCTCACAGGAGGGTCCTAGAGGGACAGAGGGCTGCCAGCCCCCCGGGGGAAGGGTGACCACCATCCCCTCGTGTTAGGACCATCCGGGCTGCCACCCCCTGAGACCCCAACCCCAATGATCCCTGTACCCAGGGGGCTGGAAGGGGATGCTGGTGGGGGGGATCGCCCTTGGGATCAGGCGGCAACCACACCTCAGGTGGGGCAGGAAATGGTCTGCAACGGAAGCAGCAGGTGCAAGAGCAGCTGTGGGGGACCAGGTGGGAGGCATGGTTCACCCAGCGGCAGGGCCGCCTCCCCAGACCCTCGGTGACCAACCAGCTCTACCCTGGCGGGGCGGGGAGGGAGGCACCCGACGAAGGTGGCTTGGGCCTCCCCTGCAGACGCATCTCAGGCCCTCAGCCGCCTCCACCTTCCCTCCGCTGGACTTAGGGCCTGGGGCCTGGCACCCCACACCGCTCCGTGGGCTCCCTGCCCTCCCCAGGCTCCTCCACCCGGTCGGCCTGTGTTGGGGTCCCCAGCCCCCCACCCCCAGGCACTTTCCCGAATCCCACCGCTGCTCTCCAACCCTGTCCACCACCATCCTCACAGGTGCTGGAGCCCAGGTCCATCTCGGGCAGGCCCACCCTCATGCCTGACCAGGCCAGAGGCTACCAGGGTCTGTCCCTGAGGGCCTCGAGGGGTCTGCCGGCTTCAACCAGGGTATAGGCTTGGTCTCCTGGTCCCAGGGAGCCCAGGACAAGCTCAGGCTGGTGCTCTGGTCCCAGGCAGGCAGGAGCAGCCGTTTATTTTATTTTAAAAATTATTTTTTATTTTTAAGATTGTTATTTATTTCTTTTTGGCCGCAATGCACCGCCTGCGCGGATCTTAGCTCCCTGACCAGAGATCGAACCCGTGCCCCCTGCAGTGGAAGCATGGAGTCCTAACCACTGGACCTCCAGGGATGTCCCAGGAGCAGCCGTTTAGAAGAAAGCTCCAGTGGCCCCCAATTTAGAGTACTATTATTGTTGTTGTTGCTTCCTGTTTATCTCTTTTCCTCCACCAGGCTGGCACTTCCCAGCCCACCCAGCTAGGCCATCTTGGCCCACGGTGGGGTGGGGGACCAGCCCCTCCCAGGAGTGGCTATTTTAGAACCAGAGTCTAGACCAGTCCTGGGCCCAGAGGCACGGGCAGCAGATGGCCTGGAGGTGCTGGGAATGCCACTCGCTTCCGGAGAGCGTGAACTCTCTCCCCCGCCCAGGCAGGTCCCGGAATAGCCCCTCCTGCGCTCCGGCTGTCAGGCAGATGTCCCGGGTGGCGGCTGCACGTCGCCACCTGTCCCCGCCATGCTCACGCGACTGGCGGGCAGGCGGGTGGGACGTAGAGCCCGGCCATTCTCCTTGTAATGCGCCCCACCACTGGGGTCTGCCCCCTTCCCGACCTGTCCACCGCCGGCGCCCAGATGGACACGCGGCGGACCACGGGCCTCCGCCGTGTTTCCCAATGGGAGGCCAAGGGCTCGCCAGCCTCCACTGCGGATGGGTCTCCCCTCTCCCCTCTCAGACGGGACCTCCGGGCAGATGGGTGGGCAGACAGACCCAGGCGTGGGAGCCGCGAGCAGGGAGAGGAGGACAAGCCAGAAGCTAAGGTGTGGATGCAACACCCAAAAGGCGGGCATGCAGGACGGCACCTGCGCTGCGGAGAAACCGGGTGCCGGTGGTCTGTGAGGTCCTGGGACCCCAACACAGGCAGACTGCCCAGAGGACCCTGGGAGGGCAGGGAGCCCACAGAGCGTGGGGTGCCGAACCCCCGCCCACCCTGTGCGCCCAGCATCCACTCACCATCTGGAGGACCCCGAAGAAGGACATGAGGTAGCCGGCCTGGGCGGCCTCCAGCTGAAAGAAGTCCATGGAGATGAGGGAGAACATGACCATGAAGAGCCCTGGGCGAGGTGGGGGGTCAGGGGTGAGGGGTCAGGGCTGCGCAGTTGTGCCCACACCTGCTCCCCCCATCAGGTGACCATCACGGTGCCGGGGCTTGGCCGCGGTGACCGGCTCAGGGAAGACCAACATGAACCCTCTCCGAGGTTGCCCCTGGCAGGTCCACCCCACACAGCTGCTGTGGGCCGTGAACAGGAAGGTGCCGGAAGCTGCCCCATGCACAGGGTGGCCACAGCCCAAGGCCGTCTGGGGGTGGAGGCTGGGAGATGGGGGACCCTGGGCTGATAATGTAGGAGGATTTGGCCCCAGAACTGACGTCGGTGACCTGGGTTCCCGTCACTGTGCCCCACTGAGCCATCCTGAGTCACAGATGGAGCTGGGCGGGGGGCTTGCCCAGTTTGCCTGGACAGAGAACTTCCTGGGCTGAGGGACTAACCCTTTAGCACCAGTGTGGGGGCACCTGAGCGCCTGTCAACTCTGCCTCGCTGACTTGTCCTCTGCACTGCTCCCCTGGTTGGAGGACCCCAGATGGGGGCTCTGAGCGGTCACTACTGGGCATGACTGTGGTCAGGGCTGCCCTCAGTTCCACCGAGAATGTGTGCGTCCACCTGCAGACGTACCGTCTTTCCCACCTCCCGGACTGTCCTGAGAGGCCCTGGAAGCCACAGGCCGGGGCAGCGAGACCTTCTGTAGAGCAGGGGTAACTGGGACCCGAGCAGGGCCCTGGGGGGCAGGAGGGAAGGACGGAGACCCTCAGTTCTTCCTCCTTCTGGCCTGTGCAGCCACATCTGCATGAACCAGTGGGCTGTCACCCTCTCTGGGACAGATGTGACTGGACAGGGCCCAGTGGAGTCTCGGAGCGTGGGACACAGGGCAGCGCGAAGGGGTGACGCGCGGGCTGCAGACCTCCGTCTCCGCGGCCCCGAATTCTCAGCCGCACCGGGCTCTGGACGCTGGCCGGGCGGCCGGGACTCACCTGAGGGGAAGCCACAGATGACCTTGACCAGAAACACCGGCAGGACGCCGGGCTGCAGCAGCAGGCAGGTGATGGCCTTCAGGTCAAACACGCTGGCCTTGGGTTTCCCTGAGGCACCCGGAGAGGCCACGGTAGCACCGGACAGCCCGCGCCCCAGGGCCCACTGGGTGCGGAGGAAGCACTCCGGCTGCCCGGCGCCCCACACCCACCGGGGATGTGAGCTCGTGCTCAGCGTGCCTCCCACCAGCACCCTCCCCCCCCACCGTGAGCCCCGGGCAGCTCATCACACTCAGGACTGGGCCTCGGGCCCTGCTGACCCTGGGGACCTCTGAATTCAGGGGGCGGCCTGGCCTGGACCCGGGCTCCAAGTGATGGAGGCTCTCACTCTCCAAACCCGCATGACCAGGGCAGCTGCTGCCTGCCTGGCCCTGGATCTGGGCGACGGCATGACAAGGCTGGTGAGGCAGCCGTCGGCCAGGAGCGGCCGCTCTTGGTGGCTGCGAGCGGCCACCTTACCCTGATCCGGAGGACGCTTGGGTGCCACGTCATAGCCTCCCAGCTGGGTGCGGCGGTGCCCCCCTGCTTGCCTCTCCCAGGTTCTCCTATGCCTCGGCCCTTTTCCTCTGTCTCTTTGCAGGCCAGGCCCCCACCCAGGCCCTCCCTCTTGACTCTTTCTGGGCTGTTCCATCACAGCCAGGGCTCAGGGGCCTCCTGTCCCAGGTGGGTCTCTCCAGAGCTCTCGGTCACCCGGCCAGGAGGCATGGGGTCCCTGTGCCAGGCCAAAGTGGCTGGGCTGGGACGCCCTGGAGGGGACCCCCCTCTCGAGCCCTGACCGCTCCTCGTGGGGCCTGGGAGGCACGTTGAGCCCACAAGCTCTAACCTGACTGTGCTCTGCCCCCCGCCTCGGCACCCCGCCCCGGGAGCTGTGCTCCTGAAGCCGGCCCCCTCACGTCCCCCCATACAGCTCAGTGACCGACTGCTCTGGGCCTCAGGATCCTGGTTCGCCATGCCCGCCCCATCCCAGGTCCCTCCTGGTCCTTTCCAGGCTCAGCTCCAGTGGGAGATGCCCAGCATCCTGGAGGGGCCCAAGGAAGGAAAGAGGGCTTGAGTGGCCCCGAATGCCCCAGGCCCATTGCCTGGAGCACATCCCCTCTGCCCCCCGCAGATGAGAAGCCACCGGGGATGCTTTGGCACATCGTGGTCTTGGCAAAGCCTCCCTGAAGGGTGGGCCGGGCTGGGGGAGGCCTAGCCTGAGGTCCAGGGTGCTGGCTGGTGGGAGGGGAGGGCTCACACTTCACTCTGGCCAAGCATCCGGAAGTGGCATACCTGGTGGGGTGTAACCGGTGAGGTGTGTCTGGTAGGGTAGACCCAGCGGGATGTACCTGGTGGGGCCTACTTGTGTGTATCTGCTGGGGTGTGTCTGGTGTAGCTTACCTGGCAGGGCAGCCTGGGCACGGGCGCTGGCCCCTTTGGTGCTTGTGGGGATGCAGGTGAAGCTGAGGATGGCTCCCAGGAGGTTGACCACAAGAGCCACGATGACCGGACACTGAATCCTGTGAGCGACAGTTGTGGTCACACAGGGCTCAGGTGTCGCCTGCGGCATCTCCCCCACCTGCCCCTTCAGGCACACTCAGGCTCTGACAGCTGAGGACAGCTCAAACCCCACCACTCATGTCCTCGCAGGCTTCGAACTGGAAGCTAGGCCACGGGACCCTCAGGGCACATCAATGAGGTGATGGATGAAGAAACAGAGGAAGCTCTTGCCTTCCCGACCCTCAGGCTGTGGATACAGCATATGCGTCCTGGCGGCCTCTGAGCATGGGTGGCAGTGGGAGCCAGAATGTGAGCCCCAGAAGGGCTGGGCAGGGGCCTGGGGCGGGTGGCGATTCTCCAGGGGACGTTTGGCTCCCAGGCTGCTGAGGGGTGAGAAAGGCCCCCGAAGGACCGGGCTGCTGTGTGGTGTGCACCCACTGCTCCCGGCTTGGACGGGGGTGTTAGAGGCCTGGGGGCTGTGTTCCGCGGAATTGGAACCAGCAGGGAGGATGCTCCCCAGACAACCCTGGCAGCGCCAAGGGTCCTCCCCACCCTGTAGAGCAGGAGACTGAGGCTCCCGGGGGAAAGGGCCCCGTCCCCAGAACCCTCAGTCCTCCGGGCTCTGGTGGGACTGGAGGGGCCGCCTGGGGTGGAGGAGGGCAGCTGAGAAAGTGACCATTGCCCTCAGTGACTCAGGTGAGGTAGGGTGCTGGCTCACGGTGAGCAAAATGCCAGGTGGCACTGGGGCCAGGGCGCCAAGAGGGGCTGGAGAGACGGGGGCTGACGTGCCCGGTGGGCAGGGGCTTGGGTTTGAATCTCAGCTCCACGCACCCACATGGAAGACTGTGGGACCCCCTGCAGCCCCATCTGCGTCCTGGGGATTGTCATGCCTCTTTCTCCTCCTGGGGGAGGACAGGCCTGCACTTAGGGGGCCTCAGGAGCGCCCCACCACCACTTCCTGGAGGGGGCGGGGCAGGCTGGGCCCATGGGGTAGGGGGGCGTTTGGCCCCCTGATAAACCTAGGACACAGCCCTCAGGGTGCCTTCCCGCCTGCCCACAGCGGCACCAAGGGTTGTGACTCAGGCACTCAGCTGTCACTTCTGAGGGAGCATTTCCCCTCCATGAGTCACTACATGGAAACTCAGCCCTCAACCTCTCTGGACCGCACGGGCAGACCTCGGCCTCCAGCTCCAGGCAGCCCGTGTCACCTGGGGACAAAGGCACTGGGGCCCAGCCCCTCTGATTGTCACCGTTTCCCCCTGAGGGCTGGAGGAAGACAAAGAGTGAAACAGAAGATTCATACTGAGCCGGGCTGCTTCGACCGCCAGGCCTGTGCACAGCCGAACACCCTGCCCCTCTGAAACACGGAAAACTCCTATATATCCTGCAAAGGCCCTCTCTGTGAGGCCCTGCCCCTCTTCCCCAGTGGGCGCCCTGTCCTCTGAGAAGGGCTTGCTCTACTCCAGGGCCAGTATCCACCCCCGAGGGCAGGTGGGCCTGGGTGGGACCCTGTGCGGAGACCCCAGTGGGCATCAGAGCGTGGACTAAATGGATGACAAAAGTCCTGCCCCAGACCTTGTCAGTGTCCTGGGAGACGCCCTCCGCACTTTCACGTGAGGCAGCCATAAGCTGCCTGTGACCTTCCTCCGAGTTCAAGGAGAGGACTCCCCCGCCCCCACTCCACCACAGGTGCACACACGCGCACACACCTGCACACATACACATGCATGGCTCCTGCGGGAACCCCAGGCAGGGAAGCCAGTGGGGACTCTAGCACCAGAGAATGGGCCTCGGCAGCCCCTTGTTTCTGGGGCTGGGACCTGCCCGGGCTCACACAGTTGGTCAGTGCTGCAGCCGGCACTGTCCAGTCTGCATGTGCCACCGACCTCTCCCCTCCCAGACGGGTCCATCTCTGGCCCCCAAGCCGATACCCACTGCCCAGGATGCTGGACATTTGGGCTTTCTGGCGGCAGGGGTTCCGGACAAGTGGGCGAGTCCATTGGCTGCCAGGTGGGAAGGGTCAGAGGGCACTGGACCCCAGAGTGAGGCCTCTGCTCAGACCCAGGGGAGGCATGAGGCCGGGTACGGGCCCCACAGGCCACCGTCAGAGAGAGGGGCCCTTTCTTCAGGACTGTGGCCTCACAGGCCCGCACGTCACTGCTCCGGGCCTGCCTGGGCAGGGACAAAACCAGCTTTCTTTGCCAGATGCCCCGGAAGTGCGTGAGAGCAGAGGCGGACACTTAGATGGCTATTTTGGGAGGCTGGTGACAAGTGAGGGGCGGTGGCAGGGAGCCAGGCCCCTTCTCCAGAGACCTCTCCTGTCCCTGTGTGGCGGCCAGTGAACCGAAGGGGACACGGGGACCCTCGGGGGCCCCGGGAGGGTGTCGGGGCTCACAGCTGCCCCAGGGGAGGCTTGGGTGTCCTTCCCCACCCAGAGTGCTCTCCGACTCCCCCAGACAAAATGGCAGAAAGGAAAGCGGACAGACGGCAGCAAAGCGTGGCAGCCCCGGCTCCCACACGGGGGCCTTCTCGGTGGGGACGCCCTCCAGCCTCGTGCCCCTACCCACTGCTGCTCTGTCATCCGAGACACAGCTCGGGAGCCCCTCCCCGGGGGCCTCCAGTCAGCCCACCCCCAGAGTCTGCCTCTGGCCCTGGGGACCTCTGGGACGCCAATCGCGCAGGATGGGGCTCTGGGCCACCTGTCCACTGGCTCACTGGACTGTTTTTACAAACTGGGCACTGACCATGAGGCAGGCACTGTTAGCGTGTCTTTGTCTACCCACCCCCTTTTATTTTTGGTTGAATGCATGGATGAGAGACTGGACGGATGGACCCATGGACACCCTGAAAGGGCCCCGGGCCAGACTCAGGGCACCCGAATTCTCTGTCCCTTCTCTGTAGCTACCCTGCTGGGTGACCTCCTTTCCTCAGATGCAAATGAGGGCTAGACTCACAGGGGTCACCCTCCAGGGACCCCCTGTCCCACGCCAAGGCTGTCCTGGAGGCAGCCCACCCCGAGTCCCGCCGATGGGAGGCCTGTGGAACTGACCACGGCTGCCACCGGCGCTGGTCAAATGGCAGCGGACACAGACGCCACTTTTATCCTTATCTCGAGGGCCCGGAAGCTGCCGACGTGACGTTATCAGGAGGGTGGCAGGCCTGGCCATCTGCCCACCCGGTGCGGACTCTGAGCCGGACGCCGTCCATCTCCTGCCCGGCTTGGAGGGGACAACTCCTCCTGCAGCTGGAGCTGCCCTGTCTCCCCGCGTGCTCCGGGGCTCCCAGAGGGGATGGCACTCGGCCAAGGTCCCCAGGCCTGGCCGCAGGTGGGGCTCAGGGCCTCCTGGGCTGCGTACCCCTGTCCTGTCCAAACTGAAGGGCAGGCTGGGGTCAGCTGGCTTCATGGGATGTCTGGCCGTGCGGGGATCCTGAGAGGCACCGGGCATCCAGCCTGAGCTTGCGGGGGAGAAGTCCCCCTGCCTCTCCTGATCCACAGTCCCTAGCCCTGTGGCTAGAAGGGTGTCTGAAAATGGACGTCTTGTGGGTCCACCCCATCTTGTGGGACGTCAGCCCCCCTCTGGTTTCCGAGTCCCAGAAAAAGGCCCTAACGCTGTGTCCGGCCTAACCCTCTGCAGCCCTCTGTGTCCCCTGAGCATCTGCCCACACAGGCCTCCAGGCAAGCCCCAACCTCCTTCCTGCCCCGGGGCCTTTGCATGGGCTTCCCCTCTGCCCGGAACACCGTCCAGCTGACAGGTCTAGGCTGAGGTTCCCAGCCCCACTGCTCTCAGCCATTTGTGCCCTGTCCATGGACCTCCTAGTGCCTGAAACACCCGGGTTCTGTCTGCAGGGGCGGCGCGAGCCCCGGGGTGGGGGGAGACCTCCACGCCCTTGGGTGGAGGGTCACCCAGGAGGCCCCGCGCACCCTCGGTGAGCCATCTCCAGCACCAAGTGGGGTAGGCAGCCTGGGTGACCCGTGAGTCACCCCTGTCCCAGAGCCACTCAGGGCAGCCCTAGATGTCTACTCATTAACTCCAGGGACACTGCCGTGTCACTGGGGTGGAAACCTTCCGTCAGCAGGATAAGGGTTTCCCATTCCCTCGCCCGGACCAAGGGCCGAGATACGGTTCTCGGGTCGACTGGCTCCCCCCAGGCCTCCAGATAAGCAGCGGGGTCACACCAGTCGAGTCACCAGGGCCTGCTGGGTGCGGCGCAGGGCTGCAGTCAGAGCGGGGCCACAAGCCGGCCAGTGAGTGCCCAGGAGGGCCAGCCGGTGACACTGAGGCCCCGGTTTGCCTGACCTCAAGGGTCTGTGGCTGGACCTAAAGGAGCGGCCACCCTGGTGGGCCACCTCCGGGGGACAGAGCCTTTGGGGGCTGGACTGCGGGCCCAGCTGTACCTGTGGCCTGTGTGCAGCACCTCAGCGCTCAGAGGAGCAGGGGGTCCTGCAAAGACCCCCCCACACACACTAAGTCCAGCCATCAGGCCTGGGCTCTGCCTGACCCCACCATCAGTGGCGTCTGACAGGTGGGCCCCCACTTCTCAAATCCCTGAGCACCCCCAACCCGGGACCCAACTCTGGTGGGCTTAGCAGGTTGGTGCCGCCCACCCCAGAGGCAAACGGCCCACTTGGGGGAGGGGATGATAGAGGCCTCCGCAGGCTGTGAGGTGCCAGGCTCGGGGACATGAGTCACAGAGCTGCCCCCTCACCTGCTAAATGACTCAGGACCCAGGTCTGGGTCCTCCATGGGAGCTAGGCCTCCCAGCCCTGAGCTCCAGACTGGGCCCAAACCAGTTATACCACTACCCAGCCCACGGCAGTGGCTGCCAAGGCCACTTCCTCCTTCCACCTGCTTCCCAGCAGGGGGTGGGGCACGGCTGGGGACTTTAGGGGCCTTTAGGGGGCCGGGGTGGAGGTGGGCAGGGAGGAACGGCCAGGGAGACCTCACACCGTGCCTCAGTTTTGATTGAAGAAGGGGGGGGTGGGAATGTGGCCTTTACATCTTGCCTGGGCCTTGCCAAGAGGCAGAGCAGGCTGTGGGCCAGCAGAGAGGCTGGACAAGGGAGATGGGGCATCTGCCCTTGCCTTGGGGCATCAGGGTCCCGGAGCCCACCTTCCCTGGGCCTTGGATGGAGACTGGGGGCTCCATGGGGGAGTCTTACCCTCTCCGGGGTCTCGGTCTCCCCACCTGTCAAAGGAAGTGTATACAGCACCTTAGATCTTGGGATGAAAGAAGGGAAGCTAGTGGGATGCTCAGGAAGGTGAGGGCAGGGGTGGGGGTGAATTTGGAGGCTACTGGGAGGGAGAGGGAAGTGAGAGTGCCTTCTGGGTCAGCAGCTGGGCTGGAGCAGAGGGCAGGAGGGAACGTGGGGTGGGGCCTGCCAGAGGAGGCCTCTGTGTGTGGTGGGGGGGGAGCGGGAGGGGCGCTGGCAAGGTGAGGAAGGTTGCCCATGGCCCACAGTAGCAGGTGGCTGGGCTGGGAGGTGAACTCCGAGTCTGGGCGCTGAGAGCCCCGTTGTGAGGGGCAGCTAGCGGGGCTCCTCCCTGCATCGTCTCTCCCTTCCCAGCACCCTCCTCACGCCCCTGGTGCCCCTCCTTACTCTGCAGCCGCTGACCCTCTTTCTTTCCTCCCTGGGGACAGAGGTCCTCTTTCTCCTGACACTGGTCCATCTACCAAATCAGGCTCCGCCCTCATCGCACATGGAGAGAGGCAGCCCTGGTTCAGGCGGAATCCGTCACGGGCGCAGGGTCCCATCCTTGACCCACACGCCTGGATCGCCCGCCCTTCTGGTCCTCCTGGTACCTTTTCCTGATCCCCGGCTTCTAACATGAAGTGCCGGGCACCAGCCTCCATCTTAAGCAGTTCCCAGGGCTAAGAAGCCACCCACTCGAGGACACAGCCCCACCGTCCTCCAACTCAGACTCCCCCACCCAGCCACCCACTCTGGGGTTCCTTCAAGTGTGTGCTGAGCACCAGACTCATCCTGACGGAGACCCAACTCCTGCTGGCACCCTGGCAGCTCAGATCTCAGCGAGGCCCTCGACTCCCCCAGGGCCAGCCCCAGAGTCTGGGCACGGCCTTGAGTTCACACTTACACCCCAGCCATCAGCAAAACCAAGCCAGAACCTGCCCCTGCCCTCTCCCCACCACGGCCATCCCTTGTCCACCTGCCGTCCTCTCCCACCTGGAGTGATTCAGTAGCCACCTCTCTGGTCTCCCTGAGGTGGCCCTAGCCTCCACATTCTCGACACAGCAGCCAGGTCATCCCCTGCCCCTGCTCATGCCTCCCAGGGCTCCATGGCCTGACCCACTGCCCACCCCTTCTCCTCCACTCCAGCCACACGGGTCTTCTCGCTTCCCCAGCCTCAGGGCCTTTGCACTTGCTATCTCTTTGACTCCCCAGATGTCCGCCAGCCTGACATTATAGGAATACACATCATGTTCATTTCATCTGAGGACTCGCCTGTCCTGTTCACCACTGTATCCCAGAACCTGGAATCCCAGGGGCACTTAATAGGTGTTCAATAAACATCGATGGGGAAATGAATGAAGCAGTCCTGCCCTCTGCACCCCACCCTCCTGCTCACAGCACTTAGCAGAGCCGGCCACCCCCAACCCAGCTCTGAGGAAATGATGGGGAGGGGGTGGGGGGCGGAGGCCTTGAACAGACCTCCCTCGAGAGAGGGAGCTGCCTTGACAAGGCCACTGTGCCCGCCTGTCCCCCAATCCCTGGGGCTCAGCCATCATCGACTCTCAAGTCTGGGGCTGGTCTGGGGGCACTCAGGGAACCTGGGGAAACTCAGGCCCCCAGGGGCCCCGGCATATGGTCGTTCAAGGTGGCAGGGCCAGGTGCTGGCCTCATGCTGAGCGCATGCATGTGTGGTTCAGACACCAGGAAGGCCCCTCGCCTGAATGGAGGCCCAGGGCAGCTCATCCAGGCCCAGGCAGGGTGGGCGGGTCACCAGCTGGCACAGGGCCTCCACCCACAGCTGGGCCGGGCACCTGGATCCCCAGAGCAAAACCAAGGTCTTGGGCCTGAATGAAGGTAAGGTGCAAAGTCCATTCCTAGGTAGGAAGCTAGCTTTGAGTGGGTGTTGGAGCGCCTGGGGGAGGAACGGGGGTGGGGCAGCATAGGGGGCAGCAGCAGAAGCTTTCTCCCTGGCCAGGCAAGGCCTCTCCAGGGCCAGGTGTCCTAAGTCCAAGGGTATGCACGCCTAGGGCCACTGGAACAGACGGCTCTGTGCAGTCCCACTGCAGGGTCTGTCCCTGGAATGGGGTCCACTCTGCAGACCACATGTGAGAGCTGCCGCCCACAGGCTCTCAGGACGCTGGGCAGGAGTTGAGTTTAGCCCCCGGACCCCTGGGTGTGCAAAACTCGGGGGGGGGCGGTGAGGGCAATAGAGACCTTTAGTTCACACACGCTAGCTTTTTACCCCCCGCAAGCCACCCTCGCTCCTTCCGGAGGCAAGGGGTCTGGCTGCCCACAGCATCCCCATCGCAGGGAGGTGAAGGCACCATCACCCCGCCCCCAAGGCCTGCCGCCTGGTTCCTTTAGGTTCAGTGTGGGACCTCCCAGGAATGAGCAGCCCGAGCGCACGGACCTGGTGCCGCTGCAGCATGCGGCGACGGCGCCCCCAGCCGGCCACCCCGCCCACGTCTTCCTGCCCCGCCCACGTCTTCCTGCCCCGCCCACGTCTTCCGGCCGCAACCCCACTGCTGGCCACGCCCGTCTGCTGGCCGCGCTGCCCCCTGCTGGCCACGCTCACGTCTGCCGACCGCACTGCCCCCTGCTGGCCACTCCCTCATTTGCTGGCTGCACTGCCCCCTGCGGGCCGCGTCCCCGCGGGCCCTGCCCACCACTCCTAGCTAAGCCCTCGGACCCCGCCCACCGCAAGGCCACGCCCCGGATGGCCACCCCCAGCTGTAGGTTCCTGCAGGTCACCCTCCCATGTACCCCACCCGCTCAGCGTGCACATGGGGAAACCAAGGCCCGGAGAAGTGGCGGGGCTGGGCTGAGGGCTGGAGCGCGGCGCAGAACCGACCCAGCCTTGGCCGTCCTGACCCGTACCCACACCCCGCCTCGTCGGCCCGCCCCGCCCCCCCACGACCGGGTCCCCGCCCCGGACACTCACCCGCACGTGCTGCTCAGGGTCCCGCCGAGCAGGGAGCCGAAGATGACGCCAACGCCGAAGCACAGACCCAACCGGCCCAGGGCCGCGGGCCGCTCCTCAGGCGCAGACAGGTCCGTGATGGCCATCTGGGCGGCTACGGGGTGGGACGGGGGTGCTGACAAGCGCGGCCCCCTCGCCGACCGTCTTGTGGCCTACGGACCCAGGCCACGCCTCGCCATTCCCGCACCCCAGACCCAAGTCACAGGCCACGCCCTCACACCACTCCACTCCTCTGACCTGCCCCCACCCCCAGCCAACCCCCCACATCACCCGCGGGACCCCGACGTGTCCCCAGGCCGCGTGCTCCCCACCCTGGTCGCGGCACAGGCCACACCCCATTATTCCTCACCTCGGACCTGCCCCCTTCCGCGGGCTACGCCCCCGCATCACCCCTCCATCCCGGTCCTGTGCTCCAGACTAGACCGGCACCCTGGGAGTGGTCTCCGCCCCGACCCCTGGCTCAGGCCACGCCCACACCAAGCTCCCCCGCCTCCCTCCGGTCCCACCCTTGGCCCTGGCTATTCCGGCCCGTTCCCGCCCCCCACTCATAGTCCTCCAGCAGGCCGGAAGGCGCCCTACCTGGCCCTACCTGGCAGCGTGTGCATGAGGGCGCCGGGCAGGCGCGAGGCAAAGAGTAAGGGCACGCCGGGCAGGGCCGGGCTGCAGGCGGCAGCCAGGAGCAGGTAGAGCGCTGAGGACGCCAGGAAGGAGAGCGTGAACGCTGCCCGCGCCCCGCGCTGGTCTGCGAACCTGGGGGCCCCACACCTGTGACCCTCACAGGTGTGAGGCAGGCTTCCCGCTCCTCGGCCCCACAACAACCCCTTGGGACTGCCGGGGAACCGGGCCGCAGTGCCCCCACGGCGCTGATCAGGGAGGCCCGGTGCTGCAAGGGTGGGCAGGGGCGCCCAGGGCCCTGCTGGGCTGCTGGGCTGCCTCCTCTCAGGGCCTGTTTCTCCATCCTTCCAGTGGGACAGTTTTCAGTGACCTCGGGGGGGTCTGACCCACACGGTCATTCCCACGCCTATGTGAATAACTTGTGGGATGCAAATGTACCAAGGGCACGTGCTTATTTTACAGAAAGTGCTTCCCAGGCTCAAGCCTGGGAAACCGCACCCCCCCCCCACCCCGGGGCCTCTGTTCTGTCCGATGTTACCGGGTCTGGAGACCCTTCTTTTCTGTGGAGTAACTCTAGAAATCTGACTCCTGCCACGTTGATCTGTCCATGGCAGGCTTTGCGAGAGGATGTCTGCTGTCACGTCCCTGAGCCCAGTGCCCCCGCTGAGGCTAGCAGGAGTCTGGGGGGTTCCAGTCCCCAGAATATTCTTTTCCAGAAAAGTTGCTGGTGGGACCCCCCGGCTCAGTGGGGCGGGGCATTTATAGCCATGAGGGTCTCACCAATTAAATCCTCTCTCTGGGTCTGGCCACAAGCCAGGATTCGTGGAAGTTAGGGGTGGAGATACCCTGGGAGCAGGGGCTTAACCCAGTCTTAAAGGGACTAAAGCCGCTCTGTGCTTCGGGCTGGCCGTCCGTGAAGCAGCGGCTGCCATCTCTCTAGTGGGGCCCAGTGTGAGGTTTGGGAACCTGGCATAACCCAGGCCATGACCTCCAAAGGGCGGGCCTGGATCATCATGGGGTGAGGGCCCCCAAACTTCCCTGCCCCATGGTACCTGCCAAACACGGGCCCGCCCAACAGCTGAAGCACGCCAAAGATGGTCTGCTGGTAGCCGAAGGCAACAGAGTCCAGGCCCAGCCTCCGGGACAGGTACTGAAACATAGGCGGGGTCCATGGGGAGGGCCTGGAGGGACCCCAGCATCTGTAGTCTGGGGTCCTCCATGGGCAGGGCGTAGGAGGGGTAGCCCTGAGCAGGGTGGGAGGGGGTTGAGGGCCTGGCTCTGACCACTCCGCAGTGCACCTGGCACTCAGCGGCCCTGGGGTAACCGGCTGCTTATCTTGTAGCAGGGAGCCCAACAGGGGCTTTGGGTCCAGACTCCAGGGACTCGGTACTCAGTGCAGGCAGTTGCGGGCCCCTCCTTCCCCTCTTTGGGGTTCACCTCAGATGGGCGAGGGCAAATCCCATTCTACTCTGGCTCTGCACGTGGTGTCTAAAAGCACCTGGAGCTCAGCATGTCCAGAACTGACTCCCGGTCTCCCTCCAAGACCAGCTCCTCTGCTCTACCGTTGATGCTTCCACCCTTCCAAGGGCTCAGGTCCAAATCCGCAGTGTCATCCCTGAGCCCCCCGTTTTTCGCACACCTGTATCCCATCCATCAGCAGCTCCTGGGCTCAGTTCCTTCTCCCCTCTCCAGCACTTGTCCCACTACTGCCCCACGGCCTTTGCACTGGCTAGCTCGCTCCCGTGTCTCTTTTAAGGCTTCGCTCAGGGCCGCCTTCTCAGGGAGGCCTTGCTGACCCCGAACCTGCCACATTCCTCGGCACCCCCAGCGCCCTTCCTGCAGCACAGCATAACTATGCCGGTGGGCGTCACCAACACCCAGGACCGCCAGCGGCAAGGGTGCACTTTGCACTCTGCGGTATTCTGAGTTCTGAGACCAGGTGCTCAGAGTACCTGCGAGCATTTGTTGAACAAACACATGCTTCTCTTGGGAGAGCCAGTGGGAGGAGAGGTGGCACCAGCAGCTGCTCTGTGCCCCGCGTGCTAAGGATTTCAACTGCTCTCTCATTGCCCCAGCAACAAACTCTCCAAGGGAGAGATGGTCGTCACCTATGTTATGACGAGGACAGCAAGGTACCTGGCTGCCAAGGAGAGGAGAAAGGGCTCAGACCAAGCCATTCAGTGGAAGGGAGCTGGGCTTGGGAAGCGGGGGAGTTGGGCTCACTGTCTGGCCAGGGAGCCCTGCCAAGGCCGGAATTGTGACAAAGGCAATACCCCCTCCCACCCAGGTCCCCGGGCCCAGGCTGCTCATCAGAGTCTCCTGGTGAGCGGCCAGCGGCTAGCGCCGTGGTCCCACCCGGACCAGACAGATAAGGATCTCTGGGGCTCTGGGTCTTCCAAAGTCTCCTGGTGAGCGGCCAGCGGCTAGCGCCGTGGTCCCACCCGGACCAGACAGATAAGGATCTCTGGGGCTCTGGGTCTTCCAAAGTCCCCTGGGTGCTCTCGCCCCAGGAGGGTGAGACCCCACAGGGCGGTGTTGAATGAATAAACAAGAGTGCACAGAGGAGGAGGGGGGGTGTCTGGGCCCAGCAAGCCACAGAGGCCACTTAAACCAAGGGGCAGCTATGGCCAGGCAGAGCCCCGGATCCAGGGAGGCGGCATAGAATGAGCTGGATCAGTCCTGCCCTCACATCCTGGCTGGAGAGACAGAAATAATCTCATGCCATGAAGTACACTGTGGGGTGTGGGCAAGCTGCATGCAGACGGACCAGCCAGGACAGGAGGGCAAGTGACCCCGGGTACCTGGCAGGTGTTGGAGGGAGGGCCCCGCCCCGGAGGAGACCTGAGCAGAGGCCTGAGTGGGACTAGAAAGTGAGCTGAGCAGGTGTCGGGGTGGCGGATCGTAGGGCAAATGCCCCCAGGCGGGGCGGGAGGTACGGCGCTAGGGCAGCCGTGGGGAGGGGGCTGTCATGGGGACAGCTGGTGGTGCAGCCAGAGCGCAGGACGTGCTGAAGAGGGGCGTCCAGAGGCGTAGTTCCCAGGTGCCTTAACTTAGCTCCAGCATGGCAAGGGGTCCCCAGCGCGAGGAGCCTGGGCAGCATGAGGCCCGACCCCCGGCCGTCACCAGGGCGGAGATGGAAGGTGAGAGGGGCGGCGAGGGCATGCCGGTGGCCAGGCTGCCTGTGGAGGGGTACTCACTGGCATGACTGAGAACTGCATGAAGAGGCAGGCGAGCTCCAGGGCTGCCAGCACGTACACGAGCAGCATGACCCGGGACAGGTCCAGAGTGCCAGTCCTGCTGGGGGACTGGCCCTGGCCCCTGGAGGCCCTGACTTCCCGCATCCTGGGCAGGCGTTGCTGGGAGACCCCGTAGGGATCTGAACAGGAGGCTGGAGGAGCGGGCAGGGGGCAAAAGTCCTGCTGTGCTGGGCAAAGGTGCTGAGTCATGGGGCAGGAGGCAGGCGGCCCTGAGAGGGCCCGTGGGAGAGGACGGGGATGCCGGACGGGGCATCTCCAGCCCCTGGCCGTGCGACCTAGGGCCCATCTGGCTCTTGGAGAAGACCACAAGTGGCTCTCGCCCTCCACGACAGACAACTCTGGGTCTCGGGCACACAGCCACCATGGAACTGGAGACAGGGACCCTCCCCTCCAGCACGGGCTGGTCTCAGTGCCCCATTTTTAGAGGGAAACAGGTGCAGAGTGGTTGCCGACTGCGGCTCAGGTAGGTGACTCCTGTGGTTAAGGGGCTGGCGGGGTCTCTGTGGTGGGGGTCTGGGGGATCTTCAGGCCCACAGTGCACCCTCCCGCCGTCAGTACGGAGTGGCTTTCAGAGTGTGGCCTACTTTGCCCAGCTCCTCCAGCCAGAACCAGAGGGGCTTCTGGAGTGGCCTGGGGGTGGGGGTGGGCGACGGCTCAGCCTTGCAGGCCCCCAGGCAGGGCAGCTCCGCCCCACCGCCTCACCTCCGGCAGCAGGGCCCTGTCTGCTCCCCCCACCCACATCGGCTGGCGCCAGATTCCGCGGTTCCACGGAGGCCTCCACAGCCTCTGGCTGTACGGTTGGCCTTCAGAACCTGGGCCAGGGGTGGGGATGCGGTGACACCAAGGAGGGGACCCGGGGTGCGGGGAGCTTGGCGGGGAGCGGGCCAGAGGCTGAGAGCAGCGGGTCAGGGGCACCCGGCTGGCAGGGGCTCGACACCGCGCGGGGTGTGGGTCAGGGGCCGCCCTGCTGGAGCGAGCTCGGGTACCTGCCTTCGCAGGGGTCAGCTTGGGCACCGTCCTGGTGAGGCGAGCCCTCCTGGGTGAGCTCCGGCCTGGCCCTTCCGGGGCAGGGCTCGGGCACCCGCCCTCTCGGGGGGACCTGGGACACCCACCCTCCAGGGATGAACTCCCTCCGTCCCGGAGGCTGACCCCCGCCCCCTCCCGGCCTCCGCACTCTCATTGGCCAAACCTGACACGCCCCCCGAGGGCCCCGCCCCACTCCGCGGCCCCGGACCCTACGCCGCCTGCTACCTCCCCGGCCCGGCTCTGCCGGGACCGGCTCCCTCCAGCTTTTCTCCCAGGTCCTCGGGGGGGGCGGGAACTCAGATCTCTCGAGCAGTACTGGTGTCCGGTCCGGGCTTGGGGTGGGCAGGGTGGGGAGGGGGAGGGGCGGAGGGACTCGAGACGGGCTGGGAGGAAGGATGGGAGGGGGAGGGGTGGAGGTAAGGGGAGGGGTGGGGGCAATGCTTGGCTTGCCCCCCCCCGGCTTGCCCCCAGCCTAGGGTCTGCAAAGAGACCCAGAGGAGGGGCAGGGAGAGAAGAGCGTTTCTGGGAACCGCTCCTGGGCCCCTCACTCCCCTCCCCCCCAGAGCAGCAGGCTGCTGGGAGTTCCTGAGACGCCGGTTTTCCTCATTTCACTCTGCGGTGACCTCACCGGCTTGGTCAAGGCCATCGGAGCCCCACGATATGCAGGTTCACATGGCTTCACGCTGTCCCTCCGCGGGACCGGGCGGGGCCCCCTTGCAGCCACCCAGAGCCCCTGCCGGAGCCCCCCGGGGAGCACACAGACTCCCCCTTGGGTCCAGGCATGATTTCGCAGATAAGTAACCAGATGCCCGTGCAGTACTCTGCTACTCCACCATCTGCCCTGCAGCCCAGAGCCAGGCCAAGTGTCAAAACCAACATCCCCTCTGCCGTGTGCTTACCACAGCTCACCAGTTTTCTAACTTCAGGGTCGAGAAGCCTGAGACAGCAGGGGCAGGCAGCCTCGGAGCCGCCCCTGCAGGGCCCGGGAGGGCAGGCCAAAGTCCAGCAGTTAAGCCTGGAGTCCGGGAGCCCCAGGCCTGCTGTGGGGCCTTTCAGGGAGGGGCTAGGGGGTCCTAAGTCTGCAGGGGGAGTGGGCCTGAGGTGGAGGGAGACTTCAGTCCAGATGCACGGGGTGGGCAGGAAGGGGCTGGTTACTCACCTCTCCCTGCGTCACGCGGGCCTACGGGTGGCATGGAACTGGTTGGAGCAGAAGCAATGGGATCCAGCCTAAGTATTTGTCATGACAGGCTCTGTGGGCAGGGAGCTTCCTGGTCCCAGGGAGTGTGGGAAAAGTGCTCTCCTAGCCCTGCAACTGCACTCCCCCTGGACCCACTCCCAGCCCCGGGGCACTCACAGCCTCTCAGAGAAACTTGCTGAAGTTCTTCTGGGTGAGGCTTATCTGAGCAGGGCTGGGGAGGAGGGCTTCTCAGAGGAGGTGACACCTCTGCAGAGTCCTAAGGATGAGCTGGCAGGATCCAGGGGGCTGGAGTCCCCCCTACCACCACCACACACCCACTGCCTGGCGATGGGCTGCGACACAGGCGTGCACAGGCGTGTGTGTGTGCACGTGGGTCTGTGCGTGTGGGAGAGGGCAGACAGTACCCAATACGTGGGACGCATAAGGAAATGATACACGGATTGCAAGCACGTAGGCTGGCTCTGCGTGCCGTGGAGCCGTGGCAGGGTCCTAAGCTCTTCTGTTCTAGAAGGAACCTCTAGCTGATCAGGGACCAAAGGGGGTGGGCCAGTGTAGAGACACTTCTGCAGTCCTGAGAGGGGGGACGTGGACTTGGATAGGAGGTGGCAGCGGAGCGGGAGAGTCTGCAAAGCCGGGAAAGGAGCAGCTGACGGAGTGTCTGGGTGGTGTCCGTCAGCCAGGAAGGAACCAGGGTGTGAGTGTGGGATCTTGAGGGGAGAACCTGCTGGGGCTCAGTGCTCGAGGGGGTGGAGACGTGGGTCACACACAGGTGCAGGAGCGTGGGGTCTGAGCTGGGGGTACCACAGGGCGTCTTCTGCATCGAGGTAGTATTTAGGGCCCTGACTCAGGACGAGATGAACGCAGGAGGGGTTGATGCGGGTCCAGGGAACAGTGCCTGTTACCCTTACTATTCCCCTAGGGGCCCACCTCAACGTCACCTCTTCAGGGACGCCAAGGAGGTTTTGGCCGGGGCAGGACCAGGGCTGGGGGCAGGTCTCCGCCAGAGCTTACCTTCCCAGCCCAGATGAGGCACAGTTTCAGGCCTTGGCCAGCAGGAGGGTGTCCAGACCCCACAGCAGCACCTGTGCCCCTCACAGCATCCCCAGGAGGTCAGACTCAGCTTGGTAGCTGTCCTTGAAGTCGCATCCTTACAAGGGGCACCCCAGCCCACCACAGGCACCGGGGGCCTGGCCTCAGTTTGTGAGCACCACCTTGGAGGCAGTTGGGTTAAGGGTCTGGGAGGGCGGGTGCAAAGTCCCTCTGCAGATGCCACAGGAGGGGCTGGGCTGGCAGGTGCCGAGAAACCTTCCAGAACTGGAGTCTGTGACTAGGCTCCTGGGGTTGGAGTCTGGGCAGGGGCTTCTCGGAGGAGGGGGCAGGGGCTGGGCCTTGTGTTGGTTCCGACTCACCCCGTGGGTGGGTTCATGGGATGGAGGCCTTCAGGACATGGCCTGGCCACATCCCCAGAGGAGGCTCTGCCAGCCAAAGGGGGCTTCTCTGCTGGCCTCTAGTGATGCAGGGACCCCTGGCCCCAGCGTCCAGGCAGAGGGAGGGCAGCACAGGCCTGGGGTCCCACCTCTCACCCAGTAGCTCCGCCCTGCACCTGGCCCAGTGCTGGGATGCAGGGTCCCACGTGGTGAGGTGTGGGTCACTCAGTCCAGGGGCTCATGCCAGCCGATGGCCACAGCTGAGAGAGAAAGAGTCTTGACGGGGAAGCACGGCCGAGAAGTTTGCTGGAGGTGGCCTCAGGGATAGAGGCCTGTGGACCGGAGACCCCGGGGCCCCCAGGTGATGGCTGGGGTACACTGTGGGATGGCTGTGTCCCCTTTCTACCACGACCAGAGGAGAGGAGGACCAGGGGACCTTGCTCTTGGGACCCTCAAAGAGGTGCCAAAGGCCCCGGCTTGCCTGGGACATGGGGCTTTCCATGTGAAAACAGGAACTGTCCTGGAGAAGCCCGGCCAGCTGGTCACCCTCCCTCTCGGGTCCCTGGAGGCCAGACAGACTCACGCTGGGCCTTGACCTACAGGAAGGAAGGAAAGACGCTGGGGTGGGCGACAGCCCGGGCAGCGGAGCAGGGGTGGGCACTGCAAGGTCACAGGCCCCATCTCCAGGGCCCTGGAGGAACACCTTACCCCAAGTTCCATACTTGGGCAGGAACTACAGTTTCAACGGAGAGGTGTCCATCCAGGAAGGCGTGGAGCGGGGAAGTGGCTAGCAGCTGGTGGTCTGGCCTGGCTAGGGCCTGGGTGGGGGGGTGGTGAGAGGGCAGAAGGGCAGCCTGGAATCAGGAAAAGACGAGCCTTCCAACTTCATGGGAAAGCAGGGCTCAGAGACAGTAGCCATACACCTGTTCACCAGGCTGGGAGGGCGGAAACTGTGGCAGGACACGTGGCATGGATGCACTCCTCTCCATGTGCTCCTGGTGCCTCAGTCCCCGAAATAGGCACATGCCCGAGGGACCCGGAGGGGCCCCACATTTCCCCGAGCACCACCTCCTCCGGTCCTGGTCCCTCATCCCCCACTAGAAGGGACCGCCCCATGTTCTGACCATCCATCCCACACACGGCGCCTTCTGGAACCTCTACCCATCAGGAAGAAGCAGGAAGGACTTCCAGGACCCCAGAAGAGAAGTCACAAACCCAGGCACCCCTTCTTACCCCGGAGAACCCCCCTGGCCGGCACCAGTGCCTCCCCCTGCCTGGATGGCAGTTTCAGAGAGCCTGGCTCTTTGGTCTCTGTTGGGAGCAGCCACGCTGACACCTCAAGAGGTGACAAGCAGCAGCTTCCCTTCTGGGCACCCTGGGACCTGGTGGGGGAGTTTCTGGGGCCCCTGCTGCCTCCCACCCCTGGCCCTCTGGTCCGATGCCCAGCTCGGGGGGCGGCCAGGTCTCACACGCATTTTGCAAACTGGAGAAGCATGAGGGATAGCCCCGGCCGCTCGCCCTATCCCTTCCACTGGGACTCAGCCCTGCTGGATGGACAGGTGAACACAGACGAGGGCACAAGTCAGACACCCCTGGTCCAGGCCCTCATTTGACAGTCGAGGAGGAGGGGCTGCCCAAGGTCACACCGCCAACAGTGACCGAGCCGGGACCAGACTGGCTCTGCAGGCAGCCCTCCTGGGCCAGCATCTCCACAGCTTACCCGGCTTTGACAAGCATCTCATCCTCTCAAGCCTCAGTTTCCCCATCTGCAAAATGGGACAATGCTAATTCCTCCCTCGTAGGATACACGTGAGGATTAAATGAGGCAATCTGCACATAAATTGCGTGGCCGGGGCGGCTGCCTGGCCACAGAGCGGGTGTGTTGCCAGCAACAGCAGGGTACCAACCGGGGATGCTGCTGAGCATCGGGCATGTGTGCAGCCGGGTGAAACAGCCTGTGTTCCATGAAGACAGACCCACCAGTCGCTGTGATGTGTGTCCCACAGACGCCCTGGGTCGGGTGGTAGCACTGTCCAAGCTGCTTGTTGGGTAAATACTGCTTCACCCTGTCTGACAATTTATTAGGGAACTGCACATGATTTGGGGGTACAAATGCCTTTGTTGGGGTTGGAGTCTCCCTGCCAGCCCACACCCCTGGGCTCAGAGCAAATGTCCACTTTTCATTACAAAGGCAGCTGGTGGGGTCCTCGGTGCCTGGCTGTGCCCTGCCCACCCCCCTAGGTCTGGAGGGAGAGACCAGTGAGGCAGACGGTGATGCCTCCCCTCAAGGACGGGGCCACTGTGCCAGGCACATACGGACATGGCCTCCGAGCCTCATCAGGAGCCTTACAGATGAGAAAGCAGAGGCACAGAGAGGTTAAGCGATTTGCCCGAGGTCACACAGCCAGGAAGAGGCAGTCACTCTGCTCAACTCCAAAGCCCACAGATTTGCCCCTCGACCAGGCAGCGCCCACTACCTTGCCCCCTGCCCCATTCCTCTTGCTGTGCGAAGATGCCACTGGCAGGAATCTGGGCCCACTGGCACCCTGGGGGCAGCCGTGGGCTGTGGCCATACCCTCCTGTCCCCCCAGCAAGGACCTGCTGTCTCTCACCCCCCACCTGCACTCCAGGCCATGAGGCACCTCCTGGCACCATCCTCCGAACT